GGGCCTGTCCCTCCCCTGAGAGGTGACAGCTAAATGAACCACATACAAAACTCTCCAAACTGAGTGGATGCAAAATATGACTAAGAAATCAAAGTGTGTCCCAAAACTTCCTTGCTTCAGTAAGGTTTAGGGTTAGGCCTTTGTTGTGGAACGTGTGTTTACGAACAGCTAGATAGCTGGCCTCCAGGCACGTGAAACCTGTGCGAGGAACCTACGGTCATGTGTACCTATCCAGCAATGTGCATTCAGCAGCACCTCCCCTCCTTGGATTGCACAGACAAGGGGAATTAAGGCAAAAAAAGAGGTTTTGAGTCAGTAACAAAACTAGGGGAAGAATCCAGATCTGGCTTTCAATTAGTAGGCTAAGGGGAAAAAGCAACTGCGTCCTGACACTGAGCGTTCGGGAAAACCCAACCTTGTTTTTCTTAGTTATGCTTAGTTATATACCTACCTGGGGCCTCTGCTATCCTTGAGGGAAATAAAAGGCACACTCTTGATCTCTTTTCTAGGTTGCTGAGACAGGAATGTATTTTGAGGAGGAATTAATCATTTGAACAGAAAAGGTATAGAAGGGAAACTGTTGTTGAAACCCTGGGTATCAAAGCAAGATCCTCTATATGTGCCTTTGCCATTGAAAGGTGGGGCACAAAAGCCATCAATTTATTTATTTTTATTTTTTTGGGGGGGTGTTGTTTGCTCCAGTAGATTTTGACAGTCTGAGACATCAGTGTGTCTCTGCACAGGAACCCTGAATCCCACTAACAACAATGTTCTCTGTGACACACTATCTGCTAACCACTTCTTACAAAGCATGAGATAAAATGCTAACTAGTTCCCTGCAAGTGGCAATGTTGATGGTGAGAAGTGAGATGGGAGGAGGCTACAGGGTTACAGGCTTTCATATACCAGACTCTTCAGAGCTCAGAGAAACATGTTTGACTCGGATTTATTAAGTGATCTCTTATCCCATGACCACCAGGCAAGTCCTTCATCAGATAAGCAGTTTGAGCTGTAACCCATTCCTATAATTAATGGTCCAATTCCTTGTGAGGTGATTTATGCTGCTTGCTCCTGTCTTGGGTTCTCCTGAGCAAGGTCTTTCACAGGTAGAACCAATGATATATCTCAGGGATCCAATCTCTCAGAGAGATTTGAGGTTTGAGGTCTTATTTTCACTAGGGAAAAAATTGCGCCATGTTGGCTAACATGTAACATGTCTCTCGTTACACTTAGGACACGTTACCTGCATTTAAAATGCCAACTTCCATGGCTTCAAACAGTAAAACTTGCTAAGTGTGATCGTATCATAGCAAAGTTACAACCTTTTGTGGGTAAAGTAGCTCCAGATCATATGAAGTAGCACATATTCAGCAGCAGTTGGACTGCTCCACGGAGATAATCCAGATTCAAGATTACAGTGTGGTGCAAGACGTGGGACCAAGAATAAGCAGATTTTTTGTCCTGGTCCCAGCCCCAGCACTGCACCAGAGCAAGTTCAAGACTCAGCAGCAGCTTGCCTCATGAATGCAGCAACAGGAGTAGATAGGGTGGCCATTCATCTGGTTTTATAGAGGACACCCTGGTTTTCTGCTGCTCTATCCTATGGATATAAAACCGGACACTTTTGTCCTATATTTTCCTCCGCAAACTTCTCCAGTCTGACATAAAGGCATCTGGTTTCATATCAACAGGACAGAGTAGCAGAAACCTGGGCTGTCCACTATAAAACCAGACGAATGGCCACCCTAGGGGTAGATTGAGTGGCACCCTCTCTTGAACTCTGTTCTTTATGCCTCTCCCTTCCCAGCACCAGCTTCAAAGACCCAGCTCATCCCAGCATGATGGGGCAGGTGCTTCTGGGTTCGGCATGTGGCAGGAAGGGCATAAGCTTTGAGTATGGGGGTTGCTTCTCTGCTTCTGGGACAGAGCCAAAAAGTGAGATCCCTTTAAGACCAGGACCTTCCAAGCCAAAAGGAGTGAAGATCCAGGGAAGGAGGGTGATGAGAGGCAGCTGGCATCAAGCTGTGGCCCCACCCCTATTAGAGACTGCAAGCCTCAGATGACAGACTCCTGTGTTAGCCTGACCAGACAGGGTCAAGTGGCCAACAAAGGGGAATGGCTAGGGGGTATAAAGGCTGGTTTCTGACAGTAGGCATGGGGGATGGAAGCCCAACTGGGGAGCCAGGAACAACCACCTTCGCAAGGGAGGGGGACAATACCCCAGCAGCAAGAAAGCAGGGTCCCGAACAGATGGGGAGTGGACCCGAGCAGGTGGGGATCCTGGCTGTGGTAAGAGGGATGTTTTGTTTTTTTTCCTTTTTGAGCCCAGATGGGCGATGTTCTATGTTATGGACTTGATGACCCAGAGTGGAAACACAGTTCTGTTCACCTGATAACTGGGACTGAAATAAGACACAGCTGACAGAGACGGTAATGCCTTAACCCAGCCCTTTTCCCCCTGGTGGAATGAGACAGCCTATCAGATTCATCTAAACACCAAGGCATGGCAGGAAAGGAAAAAAGAGTGCGGGACAGCAATGAACCGAACCCCAGAGTCACCAGCCAGTGCTCCCCTGTAACAATGTCCTCACAGGCAAACATATGAGTGTGTGGCAGTGGTGCTAGGGTGAGTGCGGTGGGGGGGGGGGGGGGTGGGATTTGGCCCCCGCCCTGTCCAGGGAAGGG